AATTTTCTAGGCTGTCTGGGACTTTGCCTACAAGCATGTTGTAAGACACATTCAGAACTTCAAGACTTGAACAAAAGGTCAGATTGCCTGGAATTTCCCCTTGTAAAGAATTCATGCTTACATTAAGAAATCTAAGCCGGAATAAATGACGAATTTCTTGAGGAATCTCGCCTTGAAAGATATTCTCTGCAAGGTTGATTCCCCTTAGAAAGGAGAGGTTCCCTATTTGGGGAGGGATGGAACCAATCAAGCCGCACCTCTCTAAACTCAAGAGAGTTACTCTTCCTCTGTGTCTGCGGCTGCATGTAACTCCTATCCAATCACAGAAATGGATAGATTCGTTCCATGCGTTCATTAACCCATAGATATCTTGAGTAATGCGACCTTTGATGGCCAAAAGAGCAAGCTTGTCAGTTTCATTTGCAGAAGACAGGGCAGTTACTGGATGAGTTTGGAAGCAAACGAAAAGAAGTTGTAAGACAATAGAGCACTGCAAATGGAAATCTGCCTTCTTCATGGTTGAGTAAAGGGAGAAAAGGGGCAGAAGACAGTTAAATTTGCTGCAAGTTTTTGAACTAGCTCTATGGAATTTATACTGATTCTTCTCTGTCATTCAAAACAAAGCAGTGAAAGCAATAAAGCTAACTAGCATTTGTAGACTTCAAAGTCTCCGATGGCTCAGAATTAACTTCGGCTGTAAGAACTAGAAAATTCAATCAGAAAACGTGTTCAAACAAAAGACTTGATTGCTGATCGTTGGTACAGGGAAAAAACTGGCTTCATTTTTGTTGGAATTTTGAGGTAAAAAGGGGTAGATAGAGGACTTGGAGAGTAGGAGAAGCGTTGGACTTAGAACATAGAAAGAATGAGAAAATTAAAGCAGAAAACGTGTTCAAACAAAAGACTTCCTTGCTGATTTGTTTGTACATGGAAAAACTGGCTTCATTTTTGTTGGAATTTTGAGGTAAAATGGGGTAGATAGAGGACTTGGAGGGGAGTAGGACAAGAGTAGAACCTAGAACATAAATTTGACATAGCAATGGAAGGGTGCAGACATTCACCCAACCAGGAAGGAGAGGCGAAGTTGCTCTCTAACTCTCTCACATATCCGTTAACATCTCTTCCCATTTTTAGTAGAAAACTTTTCAACATAAAAATAGTATTCTCTACCTACTTTTCATGATTTATGGCTACATGTTTCTTACAAAATATATTCCAACATTTAAATCAAATATTGTAATACATAAGCTAACATAAAAAGTACATTGAAACACTATCACATTGCTGCGCTTCTGTTGACTAATTTGCAGCCTCCATTTGCATTTCACATTTGCATATACGTTTCATTTCATTTTCTTCCATAATACAGTTTAGTTTGCTGCCCTTTCTTTCCTCCATTGAAGCAGCTTTGTTGCTACACATTTTTTCCCATAAATTCAGCTTCTTGCTGCACCATTTTGCTTTTTCGTAGCAGCAACATCATAGCTTTGAAGCAACTGCACCAACAATTTTTTAAGCAGCAGACCACGCCCTGGAAGAAAACTGCGGTTTTACGACTCATAATTTTGAAAAAGACTCATTCATCACTAGATTTTAAACAGTCTGACTTGAGTAATATAGAATAGTAAACAAAAGGAGAAATCCAAATCAAGAAATGGAAGTGATGTGGACACAATTGCTCAAACTTACTTAGCCCAAAGAGATGAGGAAACCGAAAAATAAAGAATGAGCAATTTGGACTAAATTTTATTTCATGGGCTAAACCATGTTCTATTTCTTCAATTTTTATTCTTTTTCTTTGTCAAAGTTTTGTTCACCAAGACTCTTACCAACTTGGTCACCAAGTTTCTTGCCAACTTGGAGGCAAAGTCTCACTAAGATTTGGACGTTATATATATCCATGCAAGGCCAATGACCAAAACAACTTTTCATTCAATAAAAATTTCACTTTTTATAGAAAATTACTCTTTATTATCTTCAGTAGATTCCAAAGTTATTTGAATCTAAACATATTTTAGACTTATCATTCTCATTTCATGGTGCATCAGAAAGAATAGAAAATAATTTCAAATTATTGAGCAGAATTACCAATTTAAAGTTTTTGACTGTGAAGTATCTTTTGTGTGGTATTTCTAATATTAGAAAATGAAATAAGGCATCAGGCAAGTAAAACTTTGATTTTGAGGAAAAAATAGAACAGAAATTAATCTCTGTAGGTAGTAAACTCACACAAGGAATTGAAGCAGAAGCCAGTAGTTTGTTTCTTTTCCGCACTTTACACTTGATGGGTGGCGCCAATCCGATTCCATTTATAGAAAGGCCTATCCAGGTTTGCTCCAATGACAAATTCCTCGATCCATGACTCCTTTACATTGTATTCTTTCACGACCCATATCACCAATTACCCAGGATCGTTGCAAAAGGCTGTAGCAAAGGCAACTTCTTAGAACAATCAGATGATAATAGCAAATGTTCAGGCCCCCAGATTCAGGTTTCAGGACCTTGGAAACTGTTCATTTCCAAATAACAAGATAAGACTACGAGCTGGGTGATACTGACTTGGTTGACAACCCAATTAAATAAGCCTACTGAGTCGAGCTCCACCTTGAAATTTTTAAAGGTAAGCTTGAGTTCCTAAAAATATCCTTCAAATATGTGTTTGCTTGAAGTAGTCCATAAAGATGAGCTTAAAGAAATTTTTTCTAAATGTTTTACAGGAAGCTCGTTTATTTGGATTCAAAGCATGCAGCCAGTCGTGAACTTTAGCTAATAAATGACCAAAAATAAGCCACCCCGAGTGCAATTTTTTTATTTTTTGTTGCAACAATGCTATGTTAATAATGACACATACGGTTATAAGCTTTCAACCATAGTATGATATAACATTAAATAAGTATAATATAACATTAAAGAAGTAAATATATATAATATTACAAGTGAATCTTTGAATGAAAAGAACCAATTATATAACACATTATGTTATAAACTTACAATGACACATGGTATTGTAACTATAGCATTTT